ACCGAAAACTTTACTATCGGGTCTCTTCTATCAAAAACATTATAGATAGAAAAATCAATGTTATAAAAAAATCAAGATCAATAATAAATTAACAAAAATTATAAATTCAATATTATATGTTTTTATTTATGTCCCTACTAGAACATATATGAACACACCTGAACGTATATGAACACACCTGAACGTATATGAACACATCTGAACGGATATAAACACTAGTTGCAGTCTATGGCAGGTCAAGCATCATAAGCAGCTGATGGAGCCGAATGGTTATCAGAATTGGATTTCATAACAAATTAAGTTGACGATGAACTCATTCCATTTGAACATATGAATTGGGCTGGTAGTATTAATTAAAGAAAAAGCTACCAATACAATATGAACTATAAAAAACACAAAAACGTCATAATCAATATAAATTCGATTAAAAGTTCATATGAACACTTATGAACACACACAGTTCATTAGATGTCTTGATTCATGTCCCTACTAGAACATATATGTTGATCTTTTCTCTCAGTGATGTTATAACCCGGTTTCAGACAATCTGGGTTGAGGTAAAATTATACGTGATTAATATTTGAATATCTAATAGTATGCATGATAAAATAATATACATGGATGATATATGTGCAAAGACATGATGAACGTAAGAGGATACATGCATATGTTATGTTATGTTTGTGTATATATGTGATAAATTGCATACCTTAATAGGTAAGGTGCATGTGCAGGATAAGAATATTTAAAATGGTATCTTAGTGATGAAGTAAAATGGTATCTTAGTGATGAAGTAAAATGGTATCTTAATGATGAAGTAAATTAAGTTTTATAATACTAAACCTGCCACCCAAAAATGTTGTGATTGGTTAAAGATTTCACCAGCCTGGAATTTATAAATAATCATCACCRCCTTAGAAAGAAGTATAAAAAGAAGGATAAGATAAGATAATCTTATCATTCTTTGTTTTGAAAGAAGATATATTTTTAGAAAGAAAAGTTGAAGACGGTGAAGGTGTTTTTGAGAAAGAACCAGCGTTTTAAAGAATCTCTGTTTGCTGTGTGATCTTTTACTACAGAATCTGTTGTAACAAGGTGAGTTTAACTACTGTTTTGATATAACCTGTGAGTTTTTGAACTGCTATCTGTTTACAAACTGTGAGTTTATATCTACTGTTGATTTTTGTAAACTATTGAGTATTGATGGTTTGAAATTTAAAGGAATTTAGTAAAACTATTTTGTTTAAGTTTTAAAGGAAATATTTTGTGATTCTAAAGTTTGAATATGTTTTGGAAAAGATTAAAGCAGAAACTGTGCTTTAAAAGCAGTTTTGGATTTGATATACTGTGTTGAGGATTTAAAGAGGATTAGATGATTTGAGAAATCATTTACAAAACAGATTGTTCTAAGGCTCGGAATATTTTGAATATAAACCTATTTTGAGATTATGATTGGTTAAAACTATAGACGAGGTTCACTCTAACGTATATAACTTTGTTCCGTTATTGGATGAAATAATCTATAGGTTTTGGTTAAAAACTATGAACAAGGTTCACTATGACATATATGCCTGCAGCCTGTCATTGGATGAAATAGTTCATAAGATTTTCAGGGGAAATAAGGATGGTCGTTGTGTGTGATGGATAGCTGTTGCTATAAAGGGGAAATTATGGATATAATAAGAATGGTCGTTGTGTGTGTGCATGGTATAACTATTGCTATTATATCTTTTAAGATTAYAACAGATTGGAGTTYTCACTTCTTGGTGATTTGAGGATTCAGAGATGTTGTTCTTATTAGAAATAATAGTATTKATGTTATGGTTACGGGAAAATATGGCCTATGGTCATTAATTTTGATTAAAAGTGTTTTGAAACAGAATATGATTTTCAGCCTTTACTACATGGAATGAATTATTTGAAATTAATGTTTTGGTGATCTTCATCATGCATTACATAAAAAAAGAACCTCACTAGACATACATGTCTAACCCTCATTTT